TCCAGGCAACATTTTTTATATCCATAGCTTTGTTTGCCAAGCTTTTTTGACATGATATATGTTTGTTGGCATATTTGCTTGCTCATTTATGTATTTGGGTATGATGTAAATAATGGATCTATTTTTCACCACCTGCATTTCAACACCATACACTAGATGAGAAATTTCCTTTTCTTCCAAATTTCTCCTTGGAGATTTTTGAAGTACAAGCTTTTGTCGCTTCCCTGTATCTCTCTAAGAATCTCTCCTTCAGTAGAGATACTAGGAATTTTTTGGCTTAGGGTTTGAGGTTACTTCGTCAAATTCATCTGTAAGTGGCTCTTAAATCTAAAGTTGTGCGTCGGAAATCCAGATAAAGTTTTTCGTAACATTTTTTTGATGTTTTTTGATAGGTTCAAACCAGTTCCACTTTTGAACAAATTTTTTCATTTGTTCCAGTGCGTGAATCTTTTAGCATTGAATGCAGTCAAAGTAGAAGTGGAGAAGCAAAAGGAGAAAATAACTTTTTATTTCAAAAAATTTATAAAAGTTCCTACAGTCTCGTGAAATTCAAAGTAAGGGTGCGGAAAAGATTGGGTGGCAAATATATTTTTTTCGTATTTTTAGTACTTTTGATCCTGTTCCCCTCTAGTTTTCTTAACCTTTTTTCCCTCTTCCAAATACGAGCCTTTGTTGGCTCTATATCCTCCCGTTTTTTTGTTGAGCGTCCGTATAAAGAAAATATCCGAGGACGTTGATAGCGCTTGTATTAACAGATTTAAATTTTACGAATTTGTTGGTATCATTATTTCCTCGCCTGAAAAAGGATTATTTTGACTTTTGTGAAGATGAATCGTTTCTGGTAATTTTTCTTTCTTTTCTTTTTGCTTATATTTTTCACATTTTTGTGGGTGTGTAGGAAGTGGAATTTTCGGCAACTGCAATTACCTGACACTTATTTACCCTAATTTGTTTGCGTGTCATTTTTTGTTTAAATTGGATTTTCTTATTCTTTTTTATCGTTTGGTATGGTAAATCTTCATTGTTTGTAAAACAATATGTGAAATGATGAGAAGGAAGAAGAACTGCTCGAGATGGATAAATTCTTTTTCGTTCCCGAATACATATACAGTGTTGCTTGTTCAGCTATCAAATTATTGTATACCGGTTAACATTGTTTTTAATTTTAAATAAACATTTTTAAGGGGTTAGTGAGAGTACAACTTAGGTTTACTTCTTTTTGTTAAACAAATGAAAGTTAAAAGTTTAGCGATTATTTGGATGTCTTAGGAGGAAGAATTCGATTGGATTTTTGGAAACAGCTTGGTATCAATTAATTTAGAAATTGTGCTTCTAATCAGTCATGGAAGCTTTACCTTAGTGAAATATTAAAGCAGGAACAGTCAACAATAGAATTAAATGCTTTTTTGTTTTTGGCATTTCTAGAGGTTTCTTTGGTTACGCCGTCAAAAGGTCTAAAAACGCTAAATTCTTTCAGTAAAATATCTCTGATTTTTTTAAACTTTTGCAACGCTTTGCCCTTTATGGAAGAAAACGTTGTTGTCAATAACTGTACTTATAGAGCGGTGTTTTTTTTTTCCTTGTCGGTAAAGGAAATTGTCACTTTTCATTTTATTTTATTGTTTAAGCTTGATTGATTTGTGCAAGTGAACAAAAAAAACACTGATTGTCTCAATTATTGTCAGTTTTCTTCGTAAAACATAAAAAAAGCATCTTGACCGTTATTGTGATACTGCAGAATATTACTTAGAAATTTTGATGGGTTACATCGAAACTTTTGCTCTTAGAATTGGAACTACAGATCATTGCCCATATTGTTTAGAAAGTCTAAGCAGAACAACAAAAAAGTTAACAGTTTTAATGTGTCATTCAGTTGGCAATCAGAAATTAAGCGTGTAAATCACGGTACAATAAGTTTGTTGAACAGAAGTTGAAATTCTGCGAAGGATTAGAAAAAACATTAATCATGGAATGTTTAAAATCTTGATTTTCTTGGTACGATGGTAATATCCACGGAGAAATGCCTGGACTATCTATAATTTTAGCTCAGTTATGGAGGGAGATATGTCAGCGGCCCAAGCCAATTATGCCCTAAAACTGTTATTAGAGGCATCGGCACCTCATGCAACTGTGATTCTGTCACCGTTTTCGATCGCTTCGGCCCTTGCTATTGCATACCTTGGAGCTGACGGGAATACCAAAAATGAGTTGCAGAATTTACTCGCTAAAGGTAACTGCTACATTTATTTCCATCCAGTTGTCACTCAGAGTTCGTGCCGAAACTAACAGGTGATGAGGAGAGTAGAATAAATTTGGGTTATTTATTTATCAAAAGAAGCTGCCATTAAACTGTCGCGTAATTTCTCGGTTTGTATGACACTGATTTCATTGTTCAATATTTAATGTTATTTCTGTTAGCCGCATTCTTTAAATACTTGATTGCTGCAGCTCAGTTGTTTTCAGCCTGATTAGATACACTTTAGGATGCAGTGACGATCAGTTTCACCATTATATCTCACAGAACTTGGAAGACATTGCAAAAGGTGGTGATAAATATACGCTGACCGTTGCAAATCATTTGTTCTACAACAAAGATTTTGAGATGAAAGAAAGTTATGTTAATGCTGTTAAAGCGAAGTATTCTGGGCAGTTAGAATCTATTGACTTCTCCCAAGCGAACGCAGCTGCATCGGTATGCTTTTCAGCTGGAACTACTGTTGCATCCTAGACGGAAACGTTTTTTTATGTAATTAATTTTTAGAATAACTAGGCGGTTAGAGGTCAATGATTGTACTTTTACATAAACCGTCGTAAGTACTCGTGATTAATCATTTTTGGTACCATCACTTTCTTCTTTTTCAAGATGATATTTAAAACGACAACCTTTGCGCTTTTCAGAAGATCAACAACTGGGTAGCAGAACAGACAAATTCAAAGATAACAAACTTGGTGAACCCCGCCATTATCAAGCCACTAATGCGCTTAATAATTCTGAACGCAGTTTACTTCAAGGGAGAGTGGGCATCAAGGTTCCAAAAGGAGCTTACAGCAAAGAAGCCATTTTACAGTGCTGAAGGACAGGAACGGGAGGTTGTTTTCAAGAAAGCTTTTGCGAAAAATCTTGATTACAGCCGTCTGGACGGTGAAGAAGTAGCTTTGATTTCTTAATTACAGGTAGATACGATGCAAAAGGTAGATAACTTTGATTATTATGAAGATAGCGATGTTCAGTTACTTGGGATTCCTTACAAAGGCAATGAAGTGATAATGTACATTTTGTTACCTGTCGAAAAATTCGGCCTCGCAAAACTCTTAGCAAACACCGATGGTAAAAAGTTATTGGATTATATGACGCAAACCGTAAAAACGAAAGTTCAGGTAAATGGAATTGAAGCTCTGAGCAACACTTAGAAAGTAGCATTTATAAATGTTCGGTGAATAAAACTGGTGACAGAAAATCATAATTTTATGAGGCAGAGTGGCGAGAAGTGCATTTGATGATATTTTGTTTTAAACTGATTTTGTTGTTGAAGCGGATATACTTCTAAGTTCCGTGACATTTGTTGAGTGTTAACGGCTAATTAGCTGTAAAGTACCATGACAAAGGTTTCATTTCTGAGATACTGGTTGATCTATCTTTTTTTTTTGCTAATGGAAGTTTTGGTAATGCTAAGCGGCTTTTCACGCATATTTGAAATTTTTATATTGTATACAATTTTTTTCAGTACGTAATTTCCAGGTAAAAATACCGAAGTTTCGTTTGGAAAAGGGTTTTGAGTTGAGCGAAGTTTTGGCTAAAATGGGCATAGGCGAAGCTTTCTCGTCTAATGCAAATTTCACCAAGATGAGCGACGAATCTCTGTATATATCCAATGTTATTCACAAAGCTTTTGTTGAGGTTGACTTTATTTTACTGTTATATCACCTTTGTTAAATTGAACTTGGGGATAGTTTTTCTTTTTTACTCATTACAGACACTTTTGCCTGAGTACAAACCAGTTGTGAGATGCGTTTTGTTTAGCTATATTTTATTCCTAATTGCTTTGAAGCCGTCATTGAAAAGCGCTTATTTCGTTGACGGAATTTTATGGAATCTTTTCATTTGTTTTCCAGCTCTGACTTGAAAATTTAGGTGAATGAAGAAGGGACAGAAGCTGCAGCTGCTGCAGCAATTGGTGTAATGATGCGAGCGGCACCGATGCCTATGCGAAACCCTCCTAAGTTTATTGCTGACCATCCGTTTATGTTTGCTATTGCTAAGGGTGATAATTTGTTGTTTGTTGGCAAGTTTTATTGAGAACACATGAAAGCAAAGTGAAGTTTTAATATTTTTGTTTAAACTGTGTCTAAACAATCTGCTTTATGGTTGTTTGTCGCTCCAAGAGCAGCAGATAAATGCTAGCTAGTTTTTTGTGTAAAATGTTTATATATGTAGACAAAAATGATTGATAAGGACTGTTACAGAGTATTTTTTCTTGTTATGTAGTTTATTGGCTAGGACATCTATAAAGTTGAAATTAACAAACAATTTTTGATAATTTTAACAGAGCTTATGAAGTATATCATTGTTGATTGTGTACGACAAACTGTTGATAAATTTGTGACAGTCGTTTTATTTCTTTTTCATTTTTACTCTTGTTTTAACTTTTTTGTTCTTCAGAACTAAACTTGGCTTCCGATTGAGATTATTCTTGTTGGTAGATTAATTTGCTGTTTCACTGCATTTTAATACTAAAATTACAAAGTTTGTAAGAATAAAATGTTGCCTTAACTGCAGGGCATATTTATGATAATCTTAACAGAGCTTATGAAGTGTATCGATTGATGAGGACTGTTGCAGAAAAAACGTTTTTTACATGTATGCTTTGTAATTTGGAAGAACAGTTTCTGTGTTGGAATCTTTTCTTTCACTTCACGTACTACTCGGTGAAGTTTTACCAAATTATTTGATCTAGTAATGGAGGCTTGGATTTTTTACGTAGTTGTCTGGCTGCATATACGTTTACGAAAGACTATGCGGACGAGTCATGAGGCTACTATTTTTACTGAGATTACATGAATTTGCCCAGTTTTTACAGGGCCATTGTAACTGTTTTATGGCATTGTTCCTACTTGTAGAAGCCGTGTGGATTCTGATGCCTCAGTTGAATTTTGCAATACCGGAATGGAAAGAATTCTTTGATACTGAACTGGTTGGAAACGATTCTTGCCATTTTAGCTTTGCTTTACCTGGTACGGTTTGTGCATGTCCAGTGTTTGCTCAGGTCTTGGAAATGCCAGTTAAAAGCGGTTAATAGATCCCTTCTCTTGACCTTAACACCACTAGTAAAGGAACTGTCGTAGTGAGTGTACCGGTTTTTTTCTACTAGAAACGGAAGAGGTTTATTAGAAATGGTCGTTTAGCCAGTGGAGTTTAGCGATGCTGCTAGTTTCTATATGAGATTTCGATTATTGGTTAGTTTATTATTTTATTTATCTGTTTTAAATCTTCACGATGAAATCAAGGTTTTGACTTCTAACAACATTAAGTTTCATCATGAAAAATTCTGATTAAACTTTTCTGATTTTATTTCCTGTCAAAAAGATTTACCGCATAAAACATACTTTGTACTTCCCTCTTGATCAGTGCAATTGTAAAATATTGTCTGTTTGTTCTTACTGATTCAATAATCTCCGAGGAAAAATAAAAGGGAGCCAATGAAATGAATCAATCGTTCACTTACCTCATCAATACTCTTTAAAACCGCATTCATCGTCCCACAAGTGTATATTTATAATCCTAGATGCTTGAGTACTTTTATTAAAAACTAATTATTTTTAATTCTGGTTTACAAAGTGATGGTATGAGCTGTTACTGACTTTTACCATTGTTTATTGGTCTGTGCCAACTTGGAATCGATTTTTTGGCAACATTTTACGCTTAGAAAGTGTGATTCATGTTTGAGAACAGTCAAGGAACCGTTACCTTCGTTTGTCTGCTGGTAAGCAAAAGAGGAAAACGACGTATAGAACTGGTAAGAAGTATTCCAAGCACCAAAAAAAGTGTATTTCTCCCAAGGCGAGTAATTTGTTTTGCCTTCAAATACAGGTTCCAGCCGGTGGAAGAAAGTGTCTAAGAAATTACTGGCAATAATTCGGGAGGACGCTAGCTACTTTTCAAATTAGACTAGTTGTTCGGCCGCCCAAGAAAGTCATCCGCTATTGTATTTCGAGAAGTTGCAACTGAAGTAAAAAAGGAGAAGAAGAATACTGTTTTAAAATGTTAGCTGTCTGAAAAGGTACCTACCAAATTTAGGCAAGTGATCTGCCGTTAATTGCATTCAATGTTTATTCAACAGCTATCCAACAATTAAACACAGAAAAAGAACCAGCAGATTTTTTTACATTTTCATTTTTTTTTTACATTTTTTTTTTTACATCTTTTTAGAAAACAATTTTTTAAAATGACTCATGATTTTTTAAGCCAAAAAATAAGAAACTGGAGCAGTTCAAATGCTTATCTGTTTAGTAAAATGTTGTAGAAAGTTTCGACTGCGAGGACTGGAGAAGTATTGAATGAAGTTTTAAAAAACAATTCGAATTCGGGAATAGTAGAAAAACATAAAACGCATAGGCTTTTGGGCTTTTGGTTTATTTGAGTAAAAAAAGTGTCCAGTGAAATTTTAGTTACCAATGAAGCTTTTGATCTTGACTTGATCTATTTCAATTGCTAATTCTGCAATTTTTTTGGTTCTTCCAAAACCGCACAAAGAGAACTGAAGGGATTGGCATTTTGAGTTCAAATGCTGATGTCGGAAAGCCGAAAGTCGTTCTGTTAACTTCTAGTGGCCAAAATTTACTTGGAAACATCAGACTGTTCTTATTAAGTGTCTAAACGGTTCCTCTCTGAATTGCATGAATTATTTTTACTTTTGTCGATGAATCATTACATACTATTTCGTCACAGAGAACTCAGCTATTCGAACACGTGTTAAGACACAGTTCTAACAGTGACTTTTAGTTGTTAACAAAAAGCCATATGACTGCATCAACTGCCTCTAATGCTTTTTTCATAAAATACGCAACTGACGGTTTATACTTTTTTGGAATTCAAAAGCAGTCCACAAAATGCTCAAAAAACCAATAAACAAAAAAACAAGGAATTTGCTGAACAAGAAATTGTTTTTAAAAAAAGCTATTGTTGCTTTTTTGAACGAACTTCTAAATTTCGCATGAAATTTTTAAGAAAAAAAATTCTGCATTAAAAAGTTAAACTATTAGCTTCAAAAATCCTCTTTTAGCTTGAAGAATTCAACGATAGTTCAATAATTTATTGTTTCCGAAGCCCGACTTACAAGGCATAAATCTTTTGTCGTTTCACCACCGGAGAGATTAGTAGCTCCTACAACTCATTAGTCTTGTCTAAATTACTGTCAAATTCCTTTCAGTTCTTTGCAGTGTATTTTCGGTTAACACTTTCAGTCCCAGTGTTAACACTTTACCTTGCCTATATTACAGCAAGGTTTTAAAACTACACAGATAAATGCCGCAAGTGCATTTACCAAAGACAGAAAACCATAAACCATTTTATCGTTGCAACGAATTTATTCAAAAGAACATCACACATGCGAAAAAAAAAAAAAAAAAAAAAACGACGATTTAGATAATTGAAGTAGCTGATTTTAATTGTCCAAAAAGCACACAGACCGAAACTAAATTAAATTAACGCAATATGTCCTAATAAAAAAGAATGCTGGATACAAAAATAAGGTAAAAAAAACGAACATTAGTTTAAAAATTTATAAAAGAAACAGTTTTAAGAGTCATTGATTAGGTCCGTTGTAAATGATAATGTTAAAATTACATTCTCCAGAGTGGTTTGAGAAAGATAAAAGTTAACAAGTTCTGATCTTGACCGAGCTAACTTTTTCACAGTTTCAAACGTCGAAGAACGTCTGAAGCAGTGATCTTGTTAAACCTTGTAGCTGCAGCAAACTAACACTAGAAGTGAAGTACACTCGTACAATCTTGTTGGTGAGATGTTGCAAATTAAGTTCATAGTACGATGCGTTGTATTCTAAACTGCGTCAAGGATTTCTTTTTTAACTGCCTGCACAACTTCCTCTCGCTGTTCAAGGTTTTCTATTGTGATGATCAGCGTGTATCCACAACCAAATCAATATTGGAAAAATAAAAAAAAAGATCGAGGAAGAAGCAGAAGCTTGAAAATCACTCCGATTTTTGTGTATAAAGCATCACATTCTTTCACACTATCGGATGACAAAAGAAGAGTATAATTTTTTTTCAACCTAACTGTTTTATCATACATATAAAGCCTTAACTACCTTCTGTTGTGACTTAATAGTCGCATCACATTGCACTTTTCAACTGAGCCTATTACATGCCAAACCTCCAATTCACTTCATACTTATTATCCAAGTAAGAGACTTTGTATGAGTAAGCCAATATCTTTTGGCGAGTAATTTTTGCTAAAAATTTTTTTTTCTTTGGCAAGTCTGTACAATAAAACTAAACGCTATAATTTGCTAAGATGGTACCTGTGTTTAAACAAAAGGAAGTTTCTTGAGCACTAACCGGAACGCAACAGTTCTTAAGTAGAATACCGTTTTATTTAAGTTAGGCGACATAGATAGACGTGTAACCACAGAATAAATAATAGTGACAGCTTCACTTAGCAATTTAGTCCTTCCAAGAACAACTCCTTTTCACATCTGTCTTAGCCATCTTCCATTTACTTGATAGTAACTTAATTGCTGGCATACGATAAATTTCCATACTTCCTTTTTCCACAACATATTTTCGTGGAATCTTTTCTATTCTTCCACTAAAGCGTCCTTAAAATAATGACTACCCAGCATTTTACACTTTAAAAATGACAACAAACCCTTACGGGAACTGGAAAGTGTCAGGATATGTTAGTCCACCGGTTCAGTTCCACAACTGTGAAATATATGCAGCGCTGAATTAATACCGCCAGCTTTCATGTGCCTGCCGGTTATAGAAAAATTTCCTTTACTGCTTACTGTGGTCTGTTTAATACAATCATTACCAGCTGTAATATTACTCATTAGGCAATAAAAGAGTCAAGATCTCTGCATTTGTTAAGAAACCCAATTAGATACCTACACGAACACTCGACTAAACTTTCTTAAAATTGCTTCCTGTTTTAATTGATGAGGCTAGCTCACCTAACCATATAACAATTAAAATGCGCCAAAAGCTTATCTACCGGTGTCCTCATTTACCAGTTCCACCACTGTGCCCTCCGCTCGTTCTCCATCGCAGAAGATCTATCCAGAAACGGCAGCTTTTTCTGACTGACCCACTACTTCAAGCGGGAAGTCGTTTCATACATCAGGGAAAGAAAAAATAGTTTTAACTAAGTAGATATATGCCTTCAACATTTGTCTAAATTTGTCAAGGTATCCTTCTAGAATAGAAGCGCGAACAACGGGTGCAGGGCGAGATACCAGAAGCAGAAAGAATATGATCAGGCGTTAAATTGATTAACGGAATTGTGAAGTGAAAGTCTGATTCTTCTAGAAAAATCCTATTAGAAAAAATCCTGACTAAAAAAACGGTATAAAAATTTATGACCTCTGCCACAAACTCCGCCAGAAAATTATAACGTTTGCTTTTACCTCTTCTTTTAGAAGTCGCAAAAAAAGCACATACCATTTTCGTGAAGTTCCTTACAGAAGGTTCTCCCTTAAGAAGAAAACAGCTTTAAAACTTCGAAGGGTGCAACAAACTTTGCTGAAATCAAGATCTTAAATCAATAAAAAATATCCAAATAAATGAGGTGTTTCGCAAGGCAAAACAACTTTTAATTTTCTACAAAAGCGGTGATAACGTACAACGATACTTTTCTTGGAAGCGCTTAAAAAAATACTGCACAGAACGCGTGGTCGCGTGGTCTTCTGCAATAGCAAAAATTATGGTAATGGCACAAATAGAGAAAATACGACTTTTGACAAGCTTTTCAAATTTATAATTTGAAAATATACTTTTTTTTTTCATTCTGACATATTTTGAATAAAAGTATAGAACAATTTTTGAACATGCAAAATAATTTTTACAGACAGCCTATTCCCTTTGTAGTTTTTTAAAAACTAGTAATGTTTTCTTTCTCTATCACGGTTGCAGTTGCTAATTGTTTTTCTGTAGGTTTTTCGTGTACAATTTCCAATGCACTTTAAGAAAAGATCAAAAAATCAATTATAGTCGTCATCTAGAAATTCCTGAAATTCCTAGGATTAAGAATATCTTACAGTCAAACCTTAGATTAATAGGTCGCTGTAAAAGTTAGTTACTGAGATTACAAATTAGGCCGTTTCAGTCCTTAATGGTTCCGTATCGGGTGAACAATTTAAGACACATGGACTTAGTGTGCTTTGTATTTGAAAAGAAGAATGGTTTTTTTTTTGCAAATTTTTTGAAACAAGAAACTGAAGGAAAAAAATCTGAAAACTTTTAGCATAGTATTGAGCAGACTTTAGTCTTTTTCTAAATTTTAAAATTTCTTACTAACTTGTTTTCCAGTTCCTCAAAGCAGTTAAATCTGCTAGGCATCTAACTGCAAAAGACGACTCAGTTTTAACAAATTTTCTAGGAAAGCTCGCAAATGTGGTTTTATTTCGAAATGGAACTACGCTCGCATTCTGTTGCATCTTCTTGTTAACTTTACGGAATACAGAATCAATCCAATTTTTTTTTGCTCCTGTATCCAATGCATATTCAAACAAATTTTTCTCGGAATTCCCTGAAATGTTCAAGGGCGGATTAGGTTGTCGTGCGTAAATTCAAGCTCACCTGCAAGTAAAGGCAGCGGCTGTTCTAGTTTTTCGACAAAAATGGCCGATACCATAAGCAATTCAAGCCGAGGAAGGATTAAATCGACTAGTAGAAATGAGTTTTTTTCCGTAATTACATATTCGCACTAGACTGCACCAAATGTAGTGGTCAAGAAAGGCAATGGTATGCTAAAATTATGTGCAGATTTTTTTACAAACTTAAACAAAAGTCTAAAATTGCATTATTTCCTTTTTCCCAATCCGGAGAACATCTCTAAGACTTTCGAAAGAGAAACCATATTTTTTTATATTGACCTTTTAGAAGCTTACTTCCAAATTGAAGTGGATGATGAAACAAAAAATCACTAGTTATCAATATGCAAATGAGTCCTTTCCAATAAGTTTGTCTGGCTTTTGGAGTAAGCTCGGCTCCAGCCATTTTTCAGAAAACCATGTCACAGATGCTGGCGGGGTTGTTTGGAGTGGTAGCAAATTTGAAAGACATTTCAATTTCGACAAAAAATGAGACAGATTACCTGGGAAAACTTCGCCAGGTCTTTGATCGCCTATCGTGACTTGGATTTCGCGTTGAAAAGAAGTGTTCTTCTGCAACATTTTCTGTAAACTCTTTAGGTTTCATTGTCGACTCAAAGGGCGTTAGATCAAGTCCAAAAAAGGTAAAAGCTGTTCAGTACATGCTACCCTTTGAAACAGCAACTCCCCAGCCTTCTTTAAGTTACTGTAAAACACTTTTTAAGCCTCCACGAAGCATCACTTTTTTTAGTTCCAGTATTAACACCTTATCCTGCCCATGTTATCCCAAGGTCTTGAAAATTACAAAACGACCACACAGATAAATCTCATAAGCGCGTTTCCCAAATCAGAAAACCATAAGCCATTTTTTTGCTGCAACAGATTTGTCCAAAAGAGCAACACATATGCAAAATAAAGAAAAGCAAAAAAAAAAACGGCGGTGTTGATAAACAGCGCAACTGATATTTATTTTTCCAAAAAGCATACAGACTGAAACGAAATTAAATTAACATGAGACATTCCGAAGAAAAAAAGAATGCTGGAAGATTTTATAAAAACAAGGTAGAAAAGAAAACAAACACCAGTTTGAAAATTTATAAAAGAAACAGTTCTGAGAATCATTCATTAAGTTCTCTGCATCTGATAATGTCAAAAACACATCTCCCGAGGTGCTTTGGGAAAGACAAAGGTCAACAATTTCTGATCTTGACCGAGCTAACTTTTCCACACTTTCAAACACCGAAGAACATCTGAAACAGTGATTTTGCTTAATGTTAGAGTTGCAGCGAACTAAGAAGCAAACTGAAACATATTCGTACGAGCTTGTTGGTGAGATGTTCCAAATTAAGCCCCCAGTGTCATGTGCTGTCCTCAAAACTGCGTTGAAAATTTCATTTTTAACTGCCGTTACAAAACCCTCACACTGCTCAGTATTTCCCACTGTAATTTTCTTTCTTTAACAGTTTAAATTTTTTCAAAGACGCGTAAAGATTAATACGTGGAAGTCAGCAGCGAATAATAACTCACTAGAGGTCAGGTTACACATATTACATATTTGTGATATACGTTTGTCTGTATACAGATGTTTCGACACAAATTTTTTTATTTAACAACTGCCATAAACAGCTTCAAGAAAACCTCACTTAGTTAAGCTGCCGTCAAAAACCTTTGCGAACAGCCATGTCAACTGCTTAGGCAAAACAGTTGAAGAGGGAAAAACCAATCCATTGGAAAATCAAGCTCCAGAAAGCGTACATTTAAGAAAAAAACAAACAGTCACACAACCGTCAGCAATATTTCATAAATGACTATATTTATCTCAATCTAAACTGTCATTCATCTTTCTTGAAAAGTTTGAAAGAACAAAAAAATTCGTTGCTCCTTGCACAGTAGTAAACGTTTCAGACAGCTCACTTAATGACCACAACTGCTTTGAAAATTTAAATGTACTATTACCGCTTTGTAAAGCTTGAGCACTAAGTCCCAAGAAACAAGAAACATTGGAGCAAAACTAAACTAGCACTAAGCAATAAAGCCTTGAATTCTGTCTACCACCTCTCTTTAAAATACAAAAACTTACCATTCCCAATCAAAAACCATTCCAAGAACTACAAAAATTAAACTTGCTCGACACCTAAAAACTATTTCTTTCCTCCGCAAATTATTTGATACAGGCACCAACCTTGCCTTTCTCAACTGCAACCGACTTATTAAAGTATAAATAGTTCATATCACGAATTCACAAATGAGAAGATTACAGATACTATCTTATCTCATCACAATCAGCTGAGAGTACGAAATAGAAATCTAAAATAAATTAATTACTAAATAATTAGAAAAAGTTGCTTTAAACAATGAGGAATAACTTCAAGCCCAAGCAACTCAAAGACAAGTTGCTGACAGTTTCAGAACGCGAAGTTCAAAACAGGAAGTGTCAGGAACATGAAAACTGTATACAACTGAGGAAAAATATACTGAATACTATATCTTCCTTTTTTTAAAATTCATGCATATTGATTTAAAAGATAAGCTTGTTTGACAGAAGAAGCATATAATATGGCGCTTATTTAAATTTCGACATTAGTCCAAAAACAGGTACAACAACAAGAAAAACTGTGTTTAAGTTGCAAATGACGTGCATACCGAATTGAGCAAAAGACATCATCCAACCTTTACAATCCCAATAGGATATTAGCTAGTGACCAGTGTTTTAAATTTGGTATTTCTAACCTGAGATCATAACGCTAGCAGAAGTCCTTAAAAGTCCAACAGGTGAACGGCAACAAATGTGCGAGTTCCACCAATTTGCCGCAATAGAAATGCAACCAGCGATTGAATCAGTTACCATCAACTGAACCAATTCGTAAAAAACCTGCCACCTGAGTGTGTCGGTGAATTCTTGTTTTGAATATATGGCATCATGCTCTCTTTCTCCAAAGTTTCATACGTTTCTTCTCGCTTCTGGAAAGCAAACCTTTTATAATTATAAAAAGTGTAAACAAAAGTCAAAAAGAAACGCACGATCACATATAACAGTTTCTAGGGCAGTGCATTTTCCTAAGTTTCAAAGGCAATCATATGAAATAAATTAGCAAACCTTCAGTAATTTGTTAATCTCCTCAGTCTCTCTTTTTAGTCGCTCGACAACTTCTTTATGCTTTTTTTCAGCTTCTAAATATTCCACTTGGAATTTGGACATTTCACTTTTCTTTTTCACCAACTCACTTTCTATTGTTTCTAGCTCGTTAACCTAAACAATATGACTTCAAGCGTATAATTAGTAAAATGGAGCGAAGAAAATAAGAAGGAAAGCAGATCCAGTCATTAACATAAATGTTAAAAATCTTGAACTTACGCACTGTTGCGAATTTGATGACCCATTAAGCGGTACCACTTTCAACTGAAAGCGAACTTTGTTTAGCCAGTTGTCGCCATAAACACAAAGGAAATGATCCCTTTCTTCTAAAGTATGTGCCCCTACAGTCTCCAAAGAGTCAAGCAAATGAAAAGGCAAAGGAGTTTCTTTGTCTTCCATATAAAATTTAAGAGGAATAAATTCCGAAATCGTCGTGCGATTGAAAGGCACAAAATAAATTTCAGCCACAGTGCACCCCTGCCTCTTATCGCTTTCCTGAAAAATTATGTTCATAAATAGTAACAATTAGCTTACAATGCACAGAACCCTGAAAAAAAATGCTAGACAATGCAAAAGTTTTCAGAAGTACAACTAAATAATCAAAGTTTCCTTTAAACGACTGGTGAAAAGATCAACCGTATGCTGTTTTAATGTTCCGCTTTAGCATTTAGAACAAACTCCACCTCATCTTGCTCTCTTACGAGTTACAGGTGTGCAAGTGGAGGTGAAGAAACAAAAGTAGGATACAATGTCTTACCACAAAAGTACAAAACTAAATATTCCACATATCTGGAAAACATTGAAATCTTTGACTTTAAAAAAAAACTCAGCAACCTACGCTCTAAAATTGGATTCTGCAATAATTATAAATTTCTACTTAAACCGCATAAAGAAATTTGTTTAAGAGTTAAAATTAAGCCTGGTCTCAAATCAACCATACGAAAGCAAACACCCAAAAAGCCAGATAAGCAATAAGTTCGAAAATAAGAGTCTCAGTATGTCATAATAACGATACTGGGAAAAACTACTGACAAACTTTTGTTTAAGTTCAGTAACGATTCCTCTTGAAACACACTCTACTCTCCACCCTTTTTGACAAAAAAAGATGACTTTGGTCACCAGAGAATTATCCAGCAAAAATTCCTCGAGGATACATTACACTGACGACTATGCTAACCAACCTTCCAAAAGCGACTTGTCGTGAGTCTTAACAGCAGCACATCTTAAACAATTTTTTCTGCTGAATGATTATATTCCAAAAATCTTTTTCTATCCTATATTCATAAATGAACACTCAATTTTAGCCAAAAATAACTTATGCAAAACCAGAACCCTCTACGTCTGCAAAATGTTTTTAGAATAACCAAAGAATGCTTTGGCTTCTCATTTCTTTTTTCATTCTCCTCCTTGTCTTTTCCTTCACGGTACATCAAGTTAAAAATTTATAACGTTCTGAAAAATTTGAAAACCTTCACTGTTTTCTGCGATTTAATCCACTAAACCACTTAAATCAACTTCTTTTGCTTTTAAGCTCAATAAGGATTGTAAAATGAAGCGAACAACGGGGAATTCTGAGAGTGAAAGGAACATATAAAAAACCTACATAAAAATGTTCTTTGAAAAAGTGGATTTAAAGATACTATATTCTCAACTTCTACAAAGCAACCTTCCAAGTGTTCCATACCTCAATTTCAATTATTTGGCTATAGCCATGTTTTTTCCTCTACCCTCCACCAGCCCCTTAAATAGCGATTTAATGTTCACAAAATCCCCCTTACTGGAAATAATGCAGTTAGCACAACCAACGAAGGTTTTAAGGAAAGACTCGTGCCTTCCTTACAGAATCGCCTTTTCTTAGCAAAGCTTTAAACTTGAAAATGAAAACCCAGTACTCTCAAAACTACGGGTAAAAATATCTTCTGACCATGACGACACATATATATCTTGACCTGAATGTATCGAACAGCTCCTTCTTTGTCAAACAAAACAAGTTTAAATTTGCTCATCTGAATAGATTTACATATGATCATTATACCGTATGTCTGGAACTTCTTCTGCATAGACAGTTTATAAAAAGCAGCCTCCTAAAAAAAAATATTTCATTATGACGAAGGAAATTTCTTAAACAAATGAAACAAAGCATAATTTCTGCAGCCGAACGAGTAAAAGAGCGCAGCTATTAAGAAAAAGACCTTACAGTAACAATGAAAAAGCGGCAGTTACGGCCACTGACCACAATAACAAAACATAAACAAGTAAACCACAAACCACCAAGCTACCTAATAATAGAAAACTAGAAAAATCCTTCGAGTAGTCTGGTAGAATTCTGAAATTTATTACCTACTGTAGAACTAAATAAAAGTTAACGTGAACAATAACTAGCAAATATCCAAAATTGAAGCCCCGGTTCGTATATAGCTTTCGATAGGCAGTGCAGATGCCAGAAGAACC